ACCTCATACTTACCGTATTGACTTACCTGCATAATATGCTAATCTTTAGCTCAATTTACTTACCTCGATATACTCAATATGCAACATACTTACCTGGCATACCTTCTTGTCATGTTACAATTGTATGTAGCTCTGTCTATGGTTCCACGTCTCGTGTCTATAGGAGCTAACGGATATCTATCAATTGCATCAGCAAGCTTCGAGTTTGATGTTGAATTCATTATTTCTTGCTCAAATTATAATTACCTCAGGTATTGTACACAGTAATTTTGAGTTGTAGCCCAGCCAGCGTGTGCAACATATGCTTTTGCTATCATTTTCTTATATTTAGCAAATGTGTTATATAACCTTGTATATAATATGTATATATGTTTTGGTTTTTTTTATTGAAGGGAGACGTACAGAAAAGTCAGGAGCCTTTTAAACGAACCTGGAGGAGTATGTCGCAGGATAGAAATTTATATAAAATATACATTGCTTTATATTTTGTATACATTTCAAATAAAATATATTAACTGTATTTAAATGTGTTACATGTTATTTGACCCCTGATCCTATACCGTTATATCTCTCTATATTTCTATTATTCTTATCTGTCATTGTTACTAACCTGTCACCCGTAAACTTGATATGCTATGTTCGGGTATGTTGTGTGATGCTCCATTGCACTTCATATCTGACCATTACATGTTAAAGTTGTGTAATATATTTATATTGTGTTTATATATTGTTTAATAAATATCTTGGATATTTCAGGTTAGTAATCTCTGACTTATTACTTAAATTATTAGATTATACAGAATGTCATTATTGGTTAATATATAGAGGTTTTTGATAGATAACAGAGAGATATATTCACAATACTTACCTAGAATATTTACAATACTTACCTGAAATTGTACATGTAGTTATTACATACCTGTATCACTCATTCAACTTTATCTTTTAATTGTTAATTGCACTTCATATCTGACCATTACATGTTAAAGTTGTGTAATATATTTATATTGTGTTTATATATTGTTTAATAAATATCTTGGATATTTCAGATTTGCATTTGTTGTGTCTGTCTATTACCCCACCTGTAATACAAATAACTGCCGACTGGGCTACGTCGACACTTGCACAGGTGGCCGCTCAGTTGAAAACGGGGTTCCGTGAGCAAGTGGTGAAGGTTTACTTCAAATTACTTGCCGGTTCGAACCCTGCCAGCTACTTTTGATTATTTTTTGTAATGAAGCTATCAAGCTAGCTGACGGTGCGCCAGTGGTTCTTCTCGGTGCTCTTTTAGAATGGCACCTGAGGTCTTCTTACACCCAGTAAAGCTGTAAAGTTGCCATATGACGTATACTGTGTTTGGTGCGACGTAATACTGAGGAAAACACAAAACAAGTTAGTTACGTTCCTAACTGTTCTTTCACGTCAGGAATCTATCAAGTTAGCTTACTAAATGTCGAATGAATATTCGGATGTCCGCTAGTGCAATTTTTAACGCTTTTAGAGCCATTTGAGGTCTTAAAGCAGCATGCCTCAAGATGAGTATAACTATTTCATGAAATTAAATCTTTGGAAAAATGTATTTAGATCTTGAAAAAAGTAAAAGTATTCAATTTCAAATAATTATTTACATGTTATGTGCGATTAATGACTGATTTTGCAATATCAATCAATATCTTTCTACTACGTTACTAACGCAGTAAGAGGTATGTATGTATGTATATTTTGACCTTCTTTTTGTATTTTACGTAGATTGTATGTGTCGTTTGCAATATGTTAATTACTTTCTCTGTTCACATCACAGTATTTTACTGTTAAATTCATTTTCAAAATTGTCATGAAATTAGCATGAATCTGGAGGCATAATGCTTTAATTTATCGGTAAAGCTGAAAAAAATGGAAAGAACATGGACGTTGTGCATCAAGCTCAATCCCGCAGACGTCTGCGAGTACAAATTCAAGGTAAGTTCGATCTTGTTATCGTTATGATTGCTACATATCGATGAACAAATATTTAGAGATCAGTTCTTGGTCTGTTGCAAACAAATGTTGTTTTTTTATGTTAAGATGGCGTAAAAAACAAACTAAATAGCATATTGTTTCCTAGATGCAACATCAATTATAATCTATCTCTTTTAAGACTGCTATTAATGCTAATTTGTATTTTTATTCAATTATAAAATAATATATAAAAGGTAGGATTGTCATTGTCATTTGAGGTTTAATAATATTTTTAAAGATGTTATTTTTTTAATGTTTTGCTCAATAAATGTTGACCAAATGGTTACAAATTACCATCACAAGTATGCACATATTCAATGTCCGTTCATATTACAGTTTTGATTAATTCGTATGTATTGCAAAAATGGGACACACTTGTATATTGTTAGGTTAACCTAATCAGATTTCTTAATTTTTTTAATCGATTGTTAAAAGTTAGAAATACTTAAAACCTTCAAAGATCTTAAATCCACGCTTACACGCCTAAAAACGCGTGATCAATTCCTAATGAATCATATCAAGTGTTGGCAAATAAAAAGGACGCCGTATATATTTGATTTATATTAAAGATTAAGTACTTTTTAAAGACAAAGATATATAGTTCTGGTTAAAGTTACATTTTTACAACATTAAATTCATATCAGCAAAGTGAATTTTTATATTCAAACAAACAAATATACTTACGAAAATACCAGTTATTTGTCCATGTCTGGTGTATGTAAACATGTGGTATGAGTCATACCATTTAAAAAGCTATTAAGAAAAGGAATCAATCATCATTTTCTTCTATTTTATGAATTAATTCGTAAATCATTTAATTTGTAAAATACTTCAGATATATGTTATCCATCACGAATCCACAGTGGGTTGCGTGTTTTCGTTTAGGTGAATTAGGTTTTGAATAAGATGATATTGTATTGGAAGGTTGGTTAACAAAACAGTACAGTACTGTATTTCTAAGGAACAAAATATACATAAACGATATAAATCGTATACAGCTTATATCTAATCAATGCTCAGCTACATGTCTCCAGATGAGCTAAACTATTTTAAGAAAATTAAACGTAAGAAAAATGCTTTTTTAATGTAAGAAAAGTAAACAGGTCCAAGATAGATTTAAGTAATAATTTACATGTTATGTATACAAATGATAGTTTTTTCTACCATTAAATCACTCTTCCCCGACAAAAATGATCTTTAATATTGATGGTTTATTAAAAATGTCGTTAAACATGCATGAATTGTAAGTGTTTGATTCTTTCGACTGGTCACTTTATTCATAAAACATATATTATCAATTGTCCTTGTTGGGCTCACTTTATACTTCCTGGAAGAGGCAATATGTATTTGATATTTATCGAGTTAATAAAGGTAAAAATAAATATTACAACACATAAGTTTAGTTAGTTTATCATGATGAAGCAAGTAAAATAGGGGCATATGTAATTGGTGGTTCAATTCCGTCATGTTTTCTTCATTTCCTGTTTAAAAACAACGTATGCTGCTGCCCCAGTTTAATGTGAACATTATGGTATTCAAGTATTTATTTCAAGTGTTTAATATTGTAAATATTAAACAAAAACACAAGATTTAATTTAATAAAATAATTTTAATTTTACAATGCGATTATGTCATGAAACGCCTTTGAAATCTTTGATAAAATAAGGTTAAATGGAAGGCACATCTCTTCACCAACAAAAAAAGATAATGTTTATATAACAAACAGAAAGCGCAACATGTTTGGTTTTACATTCAGGAAATTTGCGGCTATCAATATTTGCCGTATAATACATGTAATATTTCCTAGACTAGTACCAGCCTCGGAGATTCACGAAGCAAAAGTAATGTAAAAACTTTAAACTTGGTACGCAAATTATGTCTGAAAACATGATATTTAAAAGCCAATTCGTACATTTTACAGATCCTTTATTGCAAGTGAATATCAATTTGAAAACTTAACAGATCATTCGAAAACAAGATCAGTTACCCCAAATTTATTTTTCTCTAATTAAAAACAATTTCTATTATCGTTTACAAAGATAATGCAAAGTTTAGACAAATTGTCTTATATAGTTTTATTCTGGTATATGTCTTAATGTGACCCAAACATACGTATTTATGTGATTAAAACAAGCTCTGATGGCACTCTGTCTATATTTTGACGTAATGCCTACACTCGTTGGTATATAGCATCTGACTTAGAAAAAGAAGGTTTTTTTTAAAACAAGTTTGATTACAATGTTAAATTGTAAATATCTATTCAAGCGTATTCATGAGAAAAGCTTGCAGTTTTCATGTCATGAATCAAAACGCTGCAAATAATGCAGAAACTGCATTATAATCATGTTCATCAATCACAGCGAAACAAGGTATTTGCCACTTGATTGAAGAGAGCATTATAAGAATAGACGCTAGTTAGGCGCAGTAAAGATATATATGATTACATCGACATCTCAGCGCCCCTTTCTCAGCGATTTTCTGATGGGATACGCAACGAGATATTTATCATGTTTCAGCCATTTATCTCCGTCTGAAACGTATAATAATACAACAAAGAATACCATATTTTACTAAATGCGACGGATAATGATTGGTATTATGTATGTTCAGTACAGATATTCCCCTTATCAAGGCAATGCTGCAAATTATCGAACCATTTTCCATACTTCGTCCTTTGTGCAAATTTTATATCAGTGTTTTACAAACACTGTTATCGTTAATAATGTTGTTTCCAGTAGGTGCAAACGTTTATGAGTTTACCTTTAAGTTAGTAGATTGTCGCTAGACAAGTAGGTTCTTCCAGTTTGACACGGAACGATTTATGCTTTCCATCTCGTGGTTGTTTCAAGTAATTGCGGCAAACAACAAAACAAACAAATATAAATGTCTAGTTTTACTTTTATATTAATTTGAAAAACAATTAATACACTTTATATAGAATAGGTAACACGCATATTGAGTGGTCATTGAATATTTGATTATAAATTTGTTCAAGAAGTAGAGCGGGGGCATCTAATGCCGAACGTACATTTAATACCGAACAAAACATGATATCCGCTAATTTGACGAGATACTTGATTTCTGCACCAAAGTGATGTCATACAGATGACGTCACATCCTTCCTTTCGTCAACAAAACCACTGGTAAGTGTTGAACGTGCGTGTATTTGAATTTACATTCATTTCAATAAAACCTGTCTTTTTTCCGATATGTCGTACCAAATCCGTAACACTAAAGCGCCAAGTTCATAAGAATGTTAAGACTTTGAATTTACGTATTTTAATGAAACCTAGACATATTTATTAACCTGTAAACATGTGTCTAAACAAGGGAAAGCACTTGCGATTAACAATTATTGTAACTTTACAGAGTTACAAAGGTGTTCGGTAAAATGTGCACATGTGTCCACGAAGAACTCTATTACCGAACAATTAAATTTTCTATTGCACAGAATAATGACTGCATTGAAACTTAAAAAATAAATGAATAAATATATAAATAAAAATATGAAATATTTGATGAAAAGATCTAGATCTACTCATTTAAAAGATTAAAGATTAAATATTTTGTTTTACAGGTTTTTAATAATAGAAGAAATGAGTCGTCAAGTAGGTGCAAGAAAACGCCAGAAATATGACACCAATATTATTGAAAAAGTTGTACCTTTAATAAGGAACAAATCCATAAGTATGAGCCGTGCTTCTAAAGAATATGGTATTCCTAAATCAACTCTGCATGATCATGTACATAACAAGTATCAAAACCATTCTGTAGGTGTTAAGCCAGTTCTGTCTAAAGAGGAAGAAGAGAGAGTGGCTAAGTGGGCCGTGCATATGTCTAAAATTGGGTTTGGTCGGACCCGCCAGGAGCTTGCTTTGACCATAAAGAAGATAATTGATGAAGATGGCAGACCAAACCCATTTAAGGATAATAAACCTGGAACAAGAGGGCCATGATGGCCCTAAAGTCGCTCACCTGTATATAGGCCCCAAGAGCGGGGCCAGTTTAAACCCCAAGGCTTTTATTTGAACAAACTTGGAAGACACCCATTAGAAGATATTTCACGCTAAACATCTAAGGTCTAGCTCGTTGAGTTTTTAAAAAAAAAGATTTTTTAAGTTTTAACTACACATATAGTTAAAATTAATGACACCCCTAGAAAGGGGCCAGTTTTGACCCCAGGGCTTTTATTTGAACAAACTTTGGAGACACTCACTAGAAGATGTTTCGTGCTTGATATCTAAACTCTAGCTATTCGGTTTTTTAAAGAAGATTTTTAAGTTTTTGCTATACACATATAAGGAAAATCAATGTCCCCCGGGGCGGGGCCAATTTTGACCCTAGGGCTTTATTTGAACAAACTTTGAAGACACTAACTGGAAGATGTTTCATGCTAAATATCTTAACTCTAGCTATTTGGGTTTTTTCAAAGAAGATTTTATAAGTTTTTGCTTTAGACATAAATAAAATCAATGACTCCCGGAGCAGGGCCAATTTTGACCCAAGGGCTTTTATTTGAAAAAACTTTGTAGACACTCACTAGAAGATGTTTCATGCTTAGTATCTAAACTCTAGCTATTTGGTTTTTTCGAAGAATTTTTAATTCAAAGTTATTACTATATGCATATAGGCCAATTTTGACCCCAGGGCTTTTATTTGAACATCTTGATAGACACTCATTAGAAGATGTTTCATGCTAAATATCTTAGCTCTAGCTCTTTTGGTTCTTTAAAAGAAGATTTTATGAGTGTTTACTATATGCATATAGGGAAAATATATGGCTCCCCGGGGCGGGGCCAATTTTGACCCTAGGGCTTTTATTTGAACAAACTTGGTAGACACCCATTAAAACATGTTTCATGCTAAATATCTTAGCTCTAGCTCTTTGGGTTCTTTAAAAGAAGATTTTATAAGTTTTTACTATATGCATATAAGGAAAATCAATGACTCCCTGGGGCGGGGCCAATTTTGACCCCAGGGCTTTTATTTGAACAAACTTGATAGACACTAACTAGAAGATGTTTCATGCCAAATATCTAAGCTCTACCTCTTTGGGTTTTTTAAAAGAAGATATTTTAAGTTTTTTTCTATCGGTTGCCATGGCAACCAGAGTTCTGCATGGAATTTAATTCTTTAAACAATTTTTAAAGGTGACCACTAAAGGAACATTCCTGTGAAGTTTGGATGAAATTGGCTCAGCGGTTTATGAGGAGATGTCATTTAAAGAAAAAATTTTACGGACGGACGCAGGGCGGACGGACGCCGGACGAAAAGCGATCACAAAAGCTCACCCTGTCACTTTGTGACAGGTGAGGTAAAAAACTGGCTGAAAGGTATTTTTACCAGACACCCAGAATTAAGTCTCCGTACTACATTGCAAATTGGGAAGGAGCGGGCTCTTATTTCACCTGAGAAAGTTGAAAAATGGTTTTAACCGCCGTATGAACACATCTGCGGATGTTTCTAAATTCAAAATTTACTATTTCACGTTTAATGTTGAATTCTGCTTAAGCCGGTGCTAGGGGGCGTGGACGGTAATTTGCACTTTCCAGTACCGTCCATGAACAGGCTCAATCAAACCGAGCCTGCAACATTTTCAATTTTGCCGTGTTGGGCTTTCTTTAGGGATTCTGTATTTATCTATTTTAAAGACTTTCGTAAATACATAGAGGATGAAGTTGGCGACAAAGATCTTCTCTCTGATCCATCTAGAATTTACAACGCGGATGAGTCGGGGTTTTCGTTTTGTTTGAAGGGGAATCAAGTCATTGGCTACAAAGGGGCTCCAGTGATTTATCACTTTGGTAATAGTGATAAATCTCAATTGACTGTCATGGCTGCGGTTAGCGCTACTGCCCACTATGTTCCACCAATGATTATATTTCCGGGACAACGTTTTTCTTACGACCCACTCGAGGGTTTTCCAGAAGCAGCTATTGGTAGGTCCGACAATGGCTGGATGGACACTGAGGTATTTTGCAACTGGCTTTTGAATGTCTTCATTCCGGCAATTAACGAACGTCGTATCAAAAAGCCTGTATTGCTACTTATTGATGGGCATAAAACTCATGTGACAATGCAAGCATCAGATATATGTGTTGAAAATGGGGTAGAACTATATTGTCTGTTAGAGCATGCGTCCCATGTCATGCAGCCCCTTGACCTTCGCCTATTTAGTCAATTGAAACGTACGTGGAGGCAGGCTGTCCGTGACTGGCAGAGTGAGCATATTGGTGAATTCGTTACCAAGAAAACTTTTGCCCGGGTGTTTAAGCAAGCCTGGGAGAAAAGTACGACAGTAGAAGTTGCTGTTAAAGGCTTCCAGGAAGCAGGTTTATTTCCATTGGACCAAAACGCTGTTCTCAGTTCTGTTAAACTTGATCCGAGTATGCTTTTTGGCCAGAACAGCTCATCAGAATCCAAAGACATTCCGAAAGAAGCTGACAAACTTTCGCGCAGTGAGGATGCTTCTGTTGATGATGCCAAAAATACATAAACTGATGACCAGACAAGCATGGAAACTGGTAAAATTTCAGTGTTATATCAGACATACCATTTTAAACATACCATATAATATATATATACTGTATAATTATATTGTAAATGAATCTGACTTTAAATGTCAGAAGAATAAGATATATTGCACATTTAATTATCACAGGAATGATATAAAACTTTATAAATACAAATATAATTATATTTGTTAAAGTTTAATTTATAATTAAATTTAACTGTTAAACGTATTGAATAATAAATAACTTGTAGACAATAAAAACATATTATTTACAAACATTAGACGAGATCATTCAAAACGATTATTATCTTTACAGATCAGATAACAAATCCCACAAAACAACATGAAGCTGATGTTAGTTATTCAGATGCTAAAGGTAAGCGTATGTCAAATATATATATGTAGATTTATATGAAGATTGAAAATAATATGATGACAGATATAAGGCATATGTGACTGTTATTGTTCAAGTAACAATTACTGATAACTGAAATAATATTTGTCTTGAAATTCTTGCAGATTTTGTTCATTATTAAATGTATGTACAATTACAATTTGGTTTTTTTAGACAAGGACCCTGAGATCGCTACTATTGCTAAGACGGTTGTTACTCCTGCAAAGGTACCTCAAACTTTAGAAAGTAGCAACCAACTCTCGCCGTTTAGCAAATTTCTGAAATTCCCTGAATGTAAGCAATCAAGTAGTAGAAAGCGACCTAGTCAGCCATCAAGGCCAAAAGCCGTCACCGGGGCTATGTACCGTGAAATCCTTCAGAAAAAATTAAAAGCAAAAGAAGAATTTGAGCAGGCAAAGAAACAGCGTCAGAAAGAGAGAGAAAAGAAGCGTCAGAAAAGAGAGGAAGAGAAAGAAAGAAAAAAGATTGAGCCCTAAGAGAAGCGAAATATGAAAAAGATTGAAGAGCAGGAGAAAAAGGCAAGGAAGAGAGAAATGAGAGAAAGGTTTTTGAAAAGTGTTGAGGATGGAAGTAGTTCTGATGATGCGATAGATGTTGGTGTTGGAAATTGTTATGAGTGTGAGATTTCCTACGAAAACGAATATTTGCAATGTTCAAACTGCCTTGTCGTTTTCATTTAGCGTGTGCCAATCGTCAGATTGAGGAAGGTATTGATGATTTGCTTCCATTTGAGTGCAAATACTGTTAGAACATAAAATTGTAATAAACACCTGATATCATGTTGCAAAGGAATTTTGCGATTCTTTTTTTAAAAAATGATAAGTGTTCGGTATTAGATGCCTTGTCCGGTAATAGAGTTACATCAGTACCAACATATACCAATACATAACCCTTTTATTCGACGTCGTATGATATAGCAAACACAAACACACGTAAGTTTAAACATTGTTCATGATATTGGCCTTTTAAAGTTTAACGATTGATGCATGTATTACCGAACTTTTCAAATTTCTGCTTAGTTGTTCGGTAATAGGTGTCCCCGCTCTAGTGTTATTTCATTATTTCTTACACGATTACAACTTTTAAACATTTGTAAAGTCAAAGAAACAATTATTATAGTACTTTTTAACAATCACCTGTCCTCCTTTCTTCAAACGTTTTATGAATAATATTTACATCACCCCATTAATGACATCATCTTAACATTGGTGCTATCAATAAAACATGCCCGATCAAACATTTTAACTGCCTATTAAAGAATTTAGTTGCTCCATTGTTATTGCGAAATTTGCAATGGTAATGTAAGTATTTTATCATTTAATAATTCACAAACATACCTCTTTATTTTTATCGTTTTAGCATTTATCACCATATGACCGCTCATACGTACCATAAATTGTATAATTAACGACGTTGTGAATATATATTAAAGGAATCTGTGATTAATCTAGATATCTAAGACGCACACATTTACGGCAGACGAGGCGGAAAAAGATGTACGTCCTCTATGACGCATAAAAACATCGTCGACGCAAAAAGAATAAGCGCATAACCTATAATTATTTCTTCGCGATGATTTTTTATTTTGTAGCGTGATTTGTTAAAGGAAATTTATTGACTCTCCCAAATTATCTAACGAATCAAACTCGTTGTAATATTGTCCATCCGGTTCGTGCACGTACATATGCAAACAATCAAAAAATAGAAAAAAGGTAGACCCAAATCAGCGGAAAGTTTCGTTTTTACCCTACAAACATGGAAACCTTACATATGAAAATAACAAATAACAGCATGTCAGAACAAAATCCGCTGCGAATTCAAGCAAAATGGCTTGATGTTTAAGTTGGTTGCGTAATGTCGTAGGCAAGACATCTGAATGCAAGCCGGGTTACACTTTTATAATGTATGTGAAGAGCAATACGTAAAAAAGGAATGTGTAAAGCAACACTGAACATAAACTTTTTAAATATTTCATTAACAACACATATACGTCTGATGACAGAAAATCTATTCTATCTCCTGCATTGCAATCATCGTGTAAAAATGTTGAATCAGAACAAGATCGAGCAAATTCTACTATGATACGTAGTTTCCTCTGCATTATTCAAGAAGATATTCCATTTGCAAACTATAAGCAATTTGTTGAGTTAATGAATTCCTTTAATTGTTAAAGACATTTAACTATTAAACATAGGTTACATTAGCAGGTGTCAATGGCCATGTGTCAGCTGTAAAAAATTGCCCCGTACTTCAGAGTTGCTATATTTTCTGGTCCTTCAGGATCACTGATTCCAACACTTTTAAATGTTGAACGAGTTCCGCCCAAGCTCGTGCTAGGTGTGTGATGGATTTTGCTCCTGCCCATAATCCTTCCTCAAACAAATGGAGGTATGTTTGTTGTGATTAATGCTTCCGGCGGATCGTTGGTCTTAAGAAAAATAATTGTTACTAGATTTGCTTCATTTTCTGCATCAGTTCCTAATAGTCTTTTCTAGTAAAGTTGCTAAATAAAGCACTCTTCTTTAAATCTTTAAAGCCAATAATAATTTTATTTAATAGCAGTTTTAAGATTCAAATTTGAATATTGTTAGCCTTTATTTTTCTCATTTAATTATTTAATGAAAAATACATTGCCAATAATAACATTGATGTATTTTTCCGTTTTTTTTACACGTCTTTCACGCTAATGGACACCATGTCACTATTGATAGTACTGGGTCAGTTGTTTTCCTATTTCATCTTCAATTCCTTACCTGTTTTATTATAATGAAGGAATTGAGAAAATTTAGGACTTTTATAATAGTCACAACATCATATTTTGATATATTATTATATTGCTGAATGGGACAATAAATTAAAAATAAATATTTTATTTTGTCAATGCTATGCCGGAATAGTGCATGGATGAACTGCAGTAAGTAAGGGAAAAAATCTCTTTACCCACTTAAACTAAATAAGACTTTACTAACAAGCAGTTAAGGGAGCACGGAATAGTCACGACAAACTTTGATCTGGAGAAAACAGCACAAGCATAAGTTTACATTGTAGAAGAGAATTTACAGTTAAGGCAATTCTTTTCTTACGATTACAAAGAAAGCAAAGAACTAAGCAAATATTTAACAAAAGTAAAAGAACGGCAACATGGAATGATCACACGGACTGGTTATTATTTCAGCAAACTTCTTTAGGGGTTCTTATTTCGCTCTATTTCATTAGCTCAAAATGAAATTGCAAACAAAACAAATTGTGCGGTATATAAAAACAAGAGGGCCATGATGGCCCTGAGGTCGCTCACCTGTATATAGGCCCCCCGCCCCCGGGCCAATTTTTACCCACGGGCTTTTATTTGTTTATTTGAACAGACTTGGTAGACACCCATAAGAAGATGTTTCATGCTAAACATCTAAGTTCTAGCTCATTGGCTTTTTTAAAAGAAGATTTTTAAAGTTTATACTATACACATATAGTTAAAAACAATGTCACCCCTGGGGCAGGGCCAGTTTTGACCCCCGGGCGTTTATTTTAACAAACTTTGTAGATATTTACTTAAAGATGTTTCATGCTTAATATCTAAACACTAGCTATTTGGGTTTTTCCAAAGAAGATTTTTAAGTTTTTGCTATACACATATAAGGAAAATCAATGACCCCCCCCCCGGGCGGGGCCAGTTTTGACCCCAGGGCTTTTATTTGAACATACTTGGTAGACACCCATTAGAACATGTTTCATGCTAAATATCTTAGCTCTAGCTCTTTGAGTTCTTTAAAAGAAGATTTTTTAAGTTTTTACTATATGCATATAGGGAAAATCAATGACCCCCTGGGGCGGGGCCAATTTTGACCCCAGAGCTTTTATTTGAACAAACTTGGTAGACACTCATTAGAAGATGTTTCATGCTAAATATCTTAGCTCTAGCTCTTTGGGTTCTTTAAAAGAAGATTTTTTAAGTTTTTACTATATGCATATAGGAAAAAACTATGACCCCCTGGGGCAGGGTCAATTTTGACCCCAGGGCTTTTATTTGAACAAACTTGGTAGACATTCACTAGAAGATGTTTCATGCCAAATATCTAAGCTCTAGCTCTTATGGTTCTTCAAAAGAAGATTTTTTAAGTTTTTACCATATGCATATAGGGAAAATCAATGACCCCTGGGGCGGGGCCAATTTTGACCCCAGGGTTTTAATTTGAAAAAACTTGGTAGACACTCACTAGAAGATGTTTCATGCTTAATATCTTAGCTCTAACTCTTTGGGATCTTTAAAAGAAATTTTTTTAAGTTTTTACTATATGCATATAGGGAAAATCTATGACCCCCTGGGGCGGGGTCAATTTTGACCTCAGGGCTTTTATTTGAACAAACTTGGTAGACATTCACTAGAAGATGTTTCATGCCAAAATATCTAAGCTCTAGCTCTTATGGTTCTTTAAAGAAGATTTTTTTTAAGTTTTTACTATATGCATATAGGGAAAATCAATGACCCCGGGGCGGGGCCAATTTTGACCCCAGGGCTTTTATTTGAACAAACTGGTAGACACTCACTAGAAGATGTTTCATGCTTAATATCTTAGCTCTAGCTCTTTGGGTTCTTTAAAAGAAGATTTTTTTAAGTTTTTTACTATATGCATATAGGGAAAATCAATGACCCCCTGGGTCGGGGCCAATTTTGACCCCAGGGCTTTTATTTGAACAAACTTGGTAGACACTCACTAGAAGATGTTTCATGCCAAATATCTAAGCTCTAGCTCTTACGGTTCTTTAAAAGAAGATTTTTTAAGTTTTTACTATATGCATATAGGGAAAATCAATGACCCCCAGGGGCGGGGCCAATTTTGACCCCAGGGCTTTTATTTGAACAAACTTGGTAGACACTCACTAGAAGATGTTTCATGCCAAATATCTAAGCTCTAGCTCTTATGGTTTTTTAAAAGAAGATATTTAAAGTTTTTTCTTTTGGTTGCCATGGCAACCAGAGTTCTGCATGGAATTAAATTCTTTGAACAATTTTTAAAGGTGATCACCAAAGGAACATTCCTGTGAAGTTTGGATGAAATTGGCTCAGTGGTTTATGAGGAGATGTCATTTAAAGCAAAAGTTTACGGACGGACGGACGACGGACGGACGCCGGACGAAAAGCGATCACAAAAGCTCACCCTGTCACTTTGTGACAGGTGAGCTAAAAAGTAATTCAAATTCATTTTTTAAAATATGATAAACAAGATAAACAAGGAAAGGCGGCGTTCAATGAACGCAACCCCCATATGTCCCAGCCACAAGAACCAGTGGCAAGGAGCCCAGGCGGACCCCAAACAAAAACAGGACAGGGCAAAGACAGAGCACGGACAGGTTAATCATTAAATGATGAATAATTTGTAACTGATTAGGAATTCAAAGAAAAAAATAATAGGCCCACAAAGGGGAAGGGGACAAGAGACTGGGGGAAGGGGGGTGTGAAGGAGGGGGTGTTAATCAAAGAAATAAAAACTAGAGGCAATGGGGAAGATACTTACCGTAGACGAGAAAACAACGAGGAACACAAACAAAAGTGTCACCAAAACAGTATGAAACAACATAGACATACATCTGAGGAACACAGAGGGGCGCCGCCTTGGAACGGTCAGCAGCATACTAGTAATAATGACTGGGGAGTTTAAACCGATAAATAGTGCACCAAACCTCGCTCTTAGCCCCATCATGTTCCTATAAACGAGACAGTGTAAATAAAATGAATCCCCGCCAAGTGAAATTCTAACAGTTGTCATGGTTACAAAAGGTTAAATAAGTAAAACACTAAAATGATCATGTAGAAACATATAAAAGTAAACCCAATGACCATAACA